AAAAAAAAAAAAAAAAAAAAAAAAAAAAAAAAAAAATTTATAGATTATGAAGAACTGACTCAGACGTTATCTAGCTCAACACCCTTACTTTCATGATTATGGAAGGATAAAAGGAGAGTAAATTCTAAATTCAAAACACAATTTTGAAATGTTATTTTAGAATAATAGCTTGAGACGCTTAGAGTAAATCAATGAATTAAACACATCCTACATTACTCATATGGTAGCAGTAAGCAATTTTAATTATATTAGGTCAGATTTGATGTGGTTTTCTAATAAAGCAGATTCTTGCTTAGAGCAACTGTGCATTAAATCTATTAAATATGTGAAAATGCTGTGCATTTGGGAAAGATTAATTTGAAATTTGTCATGTTGCTTTCCTCTATTTTGACTTTGGCTATTCATTTACATTTAAAAATAGTGCTTCAAGGTTGGGTGAGTTCTTACAGTTTTCAGATAATCTGATCTGCAACTATGTCCTAAAAGTAAGATAATCCCATCTGTGACATTAATAAACTATTGATTTAAATTTAAATACCTTGAGCTCAAGTTGCAAATCAATCTGATAAAAAAGACACAGGGGAGTAGGACCCGTTCCTCTTTGGAAATAATGACTATTCTACCCCAATATAATCCTTTGATTGGCCCTGGTTTCCAAAGTGCCTAAGTATATTGTTTTTACTATAAACTGCTTCAAATCTTCTCTGGGAGTGAGAAGGGCATAAATCCATAAATAGAGTCAAAGTGAGTCATGAATTAGTCAATAGGGAAATTGTCAAAGGATTGCGTTTATCTATATGGCCAGAACAGTTCTGCTGGTTAGGATTTGGGACAAAATACAAAAACACCACCCACTTCGCAGGCTGAAAAAAGAATGAAGATAAGTTATAACCGCTGATAGCTTCCTAATCCAAAAGAAAGAAAAGCCAATTATCCTTTTCCAATTTTGACTCACAAAATCTATTGGTTGGAATGGGCTTTCTAGGTCATCTGGGCTTTTTCCTCCATCTGATGCAGGAACGTCCTAGATTCTACACTGAATCTCTGGTTGCCCAGTGACAGAGCACCTGAGCTAAACCAAGGCGATGCATCTCATCTTTGCCTGGCCCTAATCTTTACAAAGTCCTCGGAATGGTGAGTCAAATCTTTCTCCCCTTCATAGTCATCCACTTGTAAGGTGAGTCAAATTTCGCTTTTACAACCCAGTAATGCATGTCTTCTATCATACTTCCCCTGCCTTAGGATGAGTTCTGCCATAAAAGCTAGGAAAATATACTTCTAATGAGCTGAATCAGCTACTATCATCATTTTATGTTGATACACACTTCTCAGATTTTTTTTTCCTGTTTTTCTCTTACTTTGTTCAGGTAACAAAGCTGTACAAAGCATATTGAGGCAGAATGCACCTATAAATTATGTGTTCATTTTTTCATTTCCTAATTAAAGAATTAAGGGCTTTCTTCTATAGGCTTTGATCTTGGAATAAAAGTCAGGCCATCTAGACTTGCTTTTAGAGCCTCTCTGTTTAATATGATAGTCATTAGGTACACGAGGCTATTGAGCACTTATGATATGAGCACAGTGATAGAACTGAATTTTGTATTTTATTTAACACTAGTTAATTTAAATTTAACTGTTTCCATTCAACTTAAGTTTATTATTTTAGTAGGCTTACAATTTACTTTAAACATTGCATTGTGTAAGGTACAATTGTTTCATTATAGAGTCCATGTCTGGCACATGCATCATTTTTGGTATACATAAATGTGTGGCCCATCTAATACATGCCAAAGGATTGATTTGGATTAAATGGTTTTTTTTTCTATGCACAGACTGCAAGAGTTACAATAATGTTTGTGGAAATCATACTTGGTAAATTGAAATGTTATTTTAATCATAATAGCATTGTTATATTTCCAGTAGAAAAAAATAAGTATGGACAACATTTTAAGTAAAAGCATACTACTCATGTAAAATCAAGTGGAAGCTAGAAACTAGAATTATAATAAGAGAAGTGAAAAAAAGAGAGACCAGAGAATGTCAGAATTTTCACAAAAGATGACAATTACAATTTGCTGAGGCAGAGCAAAATGAAAAAGCAGCCTCTTCATTGCGAAAAAATTATAACCGAGTTCAGTGGCTCAGCCTGTAATCCCGCGCCTTTGGGAGGCTGAGGTGAGTGGATTGCCTAAGCCCGTGGGTTCGAGACCCGCCTGGGCAGCGAGACCTCATCTCTACAATAAATCAAAAAATCAGCCAGGCGTGGTTGCGCATGCCTGTAATTCCGGCTACTCGGAAGGCTGAGGCGGAAGGATCGCCGGAGCCCGGCAGGTCGAGGCTGCAGTGGCCAGAAGCGGCCGCTGCACTCCAGTCTGTGCGATAGAGTGAGACTCCAACTCAAAAAAAAAAAAAAGAAAAGAAAAAATTATAGAAAATTAAGTGAGCAAAATTAAAAGACATTTCAGAAAATACTCTGTGAATTTGATAAGAAGTTTCCTCCAAGCCAAGCTCGGTGGCTCAGCTTGTAATCCTGCGCATTTGGGAAGCTGAGGTGAGTGGATTGCCTGAGCCCGCGGGTTCAAGACCCGCCTGGGCAGGCGAGACCTCATCTCTACAATTAAAAAAAAAAAAAAAATTAGCCGGGCGTGGTAGCGCGCGCCTGTAATTCCAGCTACGCTGAAGGCTGAGGCGGAAGGATCGCCGGAGCCCAGCAGGTCGAGGCTGGGAGCGGCCACGGCACTCCAGTCTGGGCGACAGAGTGAGACTCCAACTCAAAAAAAAAAAAAAAAGTTTCCTCTAAACAGTCAAAAAGTATTTGATGAAATTAGTTTTCTAAAATCAGAATAAATTCTAACAACATTTAAAATGATTTTTCCATGGACTCTACGTTGGTAATTTTAACCACCTCTATATCTGTTTGGATCCTTACACAAAAAAGAAAATTTTTTTTTGAGTTGGAGTCTCACTCGGTCGCCCAGACTGGAGTGCAGTGGTCGCTCCCGGCCACCGCAGCCTCGACCTGCTGGGCTCCGGCGATCCTTCCGCCTCAGCCTTCGGCGTAGCTGGAATTACAGGCATGTGCTACCACGCCAGCTGACTTTTTTTTGATTTATTGTAGAGATGAGGTCTCGCCAAGTTACCCAGCCGGGTCTCGAACCCGTTGGCTCAGGCAAGGAAAATAATTTTAGAATAGAGATATGGCAAAATAAGTTATTTCAGTTATTAAAACTTTTATTAGAAAATTATTTTTTAAATATTTTAAAAGATGTTTTACAAAAGACAAAAGATCTTCAGTTAAGCCACCGAGTGACTATTTGTAAAATCAAAGACTTATCAACAATATCAAAACCAACTGACTCAAAATTAGAAAAACTGCAAACATTTTTCTTCAGCTTTAGTTGAGTTATATGATATGTCACTGTCTGATTAATACTTTGATTAGCTTTTATCTCAAGTAACTTCTAAAATTACAAAGAAATGTCAATTCCCAGTCTAAAAAATTACACTCATGGCATAGATATTTTTGAAAACTGTGAAGTTGTCAAAGAATTTTAGCAAGATATGAAAAAAAAATAGTTGTCTATTATGACAGACAGTGCTCTAGTTATATTAGGCTGAAAAATTTAGATTTACTGAAATTTTATAACAAAGAAACTGATGCTTCCCTTATTGCTTTATAGAAATATGTTACATATTGAAAATATCTAATCAGTTTTCTGAAACTTGTCATGGATAGAATTTTCTAAATAATTCAGTACACACCAAATGCTATGAAAATTAATTCACTTGTAAAATTTTTACAGTAAGTAAAAGACAGTTTAGTAATCTTGTGTTCTTTGTTGGTTGGGTCATAAAAGAGTTTTGCAAAGATTCGCTATAATGTTAACTCTAATTCAAGATTTTCTTGAAGCAAAAGAAATGCTTGACAAATATTTAATAATCAAAGACAAAAAAGGGCAGTGTGATCCATGTCCCAAAAAATGACAGTGTGATTTATGTTTTCTTCCTGATATAACACTGCATATAAATGAGTTAAATTGACATTCCAAGGAAAGTAGAAGTAGTATTAATGACCTAGTAATAAAGTATGAGAATTTATGTTAAAATAGAAACTTTTCATGATACAATTCAATAATAATAATCTTGTAATTTAAAAAAATATTAATTAATATATCAAAGGTAATCAACAGCATTATATAAATTGCTGCCAAAACTAAAAGAAAAAGTTAAATAACTGCTGATTGTGATAAATGAAAAGATGCTTTTCAACTTATGCAATACTACTTTGAATTTGATGGTGATAGTACTAAGTTGACACAAGGGTTAGTAAATTGACAACTTGAACATAGTTCTGAAATTATAGGGATAACTGATTCCAAGCAAGTCAAGTAAATTATTTTATTTTATTTATTTATCTATCTATCTATTTATTTATTTATTTATTTTTGAGTTGGAGTCTCACTCTGTCACCCAGACTGGAGTGCAGTGGCCACACCCGGCTAATTTTTTGATTTATTGTAGAGATGAGGTCTCACCAAGTTGCCAGGCGGTTCTCGAACCCGCGGGCTCAGGCAATCCACTCACTTCAGCCTCCCAAAGCGCGGGATTACAGGCTGAGCCACCGAGCCCGGCTAAGTAAATTATTTTAAAAATGAACCAACTTTGTAAGATAGATACAACTATTAAAGGAAAATAGTATTTTTTAGTACTTGATTCAGTTATTGGAAATCTTTTAGGTAGATCTATTGTTACTCGGGTAAGTGAATTTACATTTTTCCACTGTAAATTTTAAAACTAAATAAAGTTCAAATATTTCTAATAAAGATGTAACATCTAAATTGATATGCATTGTAAATGTAAAACACATGCCAGATTTTGAAGACTATATGAAAACAAAATGAAAAATATTTCATAAATAATGTTTTATATTGATTATGAGTTGAAATGATAATATTTTGGATAGTCTGGGTTAAATAAAATATATGCTTAAATTAATTTTATTAAATAGTCATGAATACTGATATAAATAAATAATGCTTTCCAATAAATAAATAACTGAGGAAGAATAGGCAAATCTCCTATGCAGAATTTCAAATGACCCATGTGACACTTTCCCCTCAAGGAAGTAGAACATAACTCCCACCTCTTAAATTTTCTTTCCAAAGAGTTCAATATGGAAAGAGATGGGAGTGGACTTTACAGTGGAGAAACCTGGCAAACACTACCTCAGTCAGATGATCAAGGTTATCATTTAAATGCCATCTATATCAGATATAGGTGAGACTCAAGGTACAATTCATGCCGAGGCAAATTGCTCTCTAGCTGTGGACCTATAAAGTCAAATATGTTATTTGCTCTCAAAATACAATGGTAGAACAAGTATAAGCTAGACATTTCCATTCCGAAAGGAAGAACTAGAAAAAAAGAAAGGGATAACAAGTCCCAAGTAAATCTAAAATTCAACAGGGCAAACAACATTAAATTTTAAAGTTCAAGAATAATTTTTAACTCAGTGTTCCACCTTCTAAACGCATTGAAATAGGGGTTGGGCCCCTAAGGCTCCAGGTGGTCCCGCCTCATAGCATTCCCGGGCACATAGCTCATAGTACATAGCTCTTACTGGTTATGGTCAGGTGACTTCAGATCTCCCAGACTGAAATTGCACACTGGTAACTATATTAGTTTGAAATCTCAGGGGCAGCCTTGCCCCTGTGGCTCCACTAGGTATTGCCCTAGTGGTGGCTATCTGCCATAGCCAAGCCCCACAATGGCCTTCTGCTTGAGTTATGGGCCCAAAACTCCAGGCAACTCCATCCTTCTAAATCTGGGTGGAGGTTACCACACCTCCATGACTGATGTATTCTGCATACCAGTGGAGATGGCACCACCCAGACACTTCCATGGTTTACCTCTTGTGCCCTCTAGAAGGGTAGCTACTAGACTCACTGGAAATATACCTGGGGTGACCAAGGAGCACTGAGATGGAATGCAGGAAGCAGAGCCTTGAGGTGGTTTCAGACAGCCAGGACCAAGGTCTTGCAGGAAGCTTTGATCCCTACTTTGAAATCATTCTGCCCCCAAGGCCCTTGCACTCTGAACCTCTGATAAGAGGAACAGCACCAATGATCTTCAAAATGCCTTCAGTGTTATTCTTCATTTTCTTAATAAATAGCACCT